ATGCTGAGCTGGTGTGATAAAACACTGAGGCCCTTGTGGATAAATTAGAGGAAAGAAAAGTTGCTTCTTGAATGAATTAAATTAAATTTGCATCTTTAAATATTTTAATCATCAGGTAAATAGCGTGTACTTAGAGTATTATTAGTAATACAATTCTATTCCTATTCTATTCACTCTTTTCTTACCTTTTCTCTTTCATGTTATGTTCAAGAACTGCCAATTCAGGGGAACAATCCTCTATTCCCATAATTGAGAACCAACCTTTATTCCCATAACTGAGTAAAGACTTCTGTTCCTGTTAATGCCAATAGATTTTCAGTCCCATTAAGGAAAATGGATCTTTGTTTTCATGATGTTGTAGAATGAGATGGCTGGAACCTCACAGGTAATAAGGACCAGACAAGCTGATTAAATGAAGAAAACTGTAGAGAAACAATTGATTTATGATAATGACTTTTTTGTTTGTCCAAAGACGTCTCCAAAATTAATTTTTCTCCATGGGAGCAATAGTGAAGGTATGTACAGAAAATATGCATGTGTCTTATTTCAAGCTATGAATTTTATTGTTTTATATTATTACCTCATATACACTGACCTCTCACTTACCTGTAAAGCACATCGTTAAAGCTACAAAAAAAAAAAAAAAGAAAAGAAAAAAGAAATACCACATTTTTAAACTAACAACTGGAAGAGGTAAATAGAGTATCTGTTACAGAAACATCTTACTTGACATTAGAAGGACTGGATAAGTTCTGTGTCTACCCCAGGTTTGCATTATCATTAGGGAGAAAAGTCTCAACAGCTATATACCATTTGACTCAATAGATATATTTTTTAAAGATTTTATTTATTTATTCATGAGAGACATAGAGAGAGAGGCAGAGACACAGGCAGAGGGAGAAGTAGGCTCCCTGTGGGGAGCCCGATGCAGGACTTGATCCCGGATCCAGGGATCACGCCCTCAGCCAAAGGCAGATGCTCAACCCCTGAGCCATCCAGGTCTCCCTTAATAGATATTTCTATAGGCTTTAGTTGTGTCTCTATTTGTGGAAACAGATTAATATAAATAAATCTATTTTAGTAAATCAGTCCCTAAATAATTGCATGAAAACTGATTTTCAAAATTTAATTATCATGTAACTACCAAAAATAGTTTCCTCATGAAGAAAAAATTGCAGAGATCTCTTTTTGGTAGTAAACATTTTTAATATTGCAAGCAGTCTTGCATATATAGAAATTAAACTTTATATTTTTTCATATGTCAAGGTCTCCTAAAGTCAGTCAAAAATCCAATTTCCTTCTAGTTGAGATTAATAAGTGAAAGACACAGAGGTAGCTTTTCTTCACAATGACACCAGGGTCATACCTACTGGTGAGCTTGACTCAAACAGTGAGCTAGGAGGATGGGGGGGTTTGGGGGGGTGTGGGGGTGTGTGTGGGGGTTGGGTTTGCAGGTCATCCCAAACAATGAAATTAAACAGTCCAGTCAGTCATAATGTTGGATATTTTTAAATACACATTTTGAATTATTTACAGGAATTTTTTTAACTTTTACTTTATTTTGAATGGTATGGCGCTAAGGCTTTATAAATACAACCATAAAACACAAGATAAAATTAAAACTAAATAGAGAAATGAGATAAATCCATGAAAGTATTGGACTAAATTTTTACCCACGATGTGAGATATACCCAAAATATTTTAATTTCTGTTCCTTCAAAATCAGTTTTGAAATATAGATTATGATTTACATTTGTGTTATTCATATGCCTCTTCCCAATGCCCAAGTGGTAAATGGTCAAGTGGTAAATCTTCTTACATGAAAGGAAAAAATTGAATGAGCAAAACAGTGGTCAACGTAAACAGAGCTCATATATTATCTCAGAAGAAAACCGATGTTGTAAATAAATGGCCATTTATTGGCCAATATTCTTTACATAAATAGACAATGGTAATTTTCAGGTAGTATCTCTGCGAGCACAATGGAATTTTTTAAAAGTCATTTTTCTATAGAGGAGTGAAATCCCAGAATGAGAATACCTTGGAAAAGGAAATGAGGAACAGGGGATTAGAAGGAACCTTGGATATCAGGTCATGACCAGTTTATCTCCCTCCACATAGAGATGGGAAAATCAAGCCCCAGAGAGAGATAAGCACAGGTGTTTGGACTTTTAAACATTTAAAAAAGATTTTATGTATTTATTCATGGGAGACACAGGCAGAGGGAGAAGCAGGCTCCCTACGGGGAGCCCCATGCGGGGAGCGCCATGCGGGACTCGATCCCGGGACCCCGGCGTCACGACCTGAGCCGAAGGCAGACGCTCAACCGCTGAGTCACCCATTCTTTTAATTTTCTGAGTTCCAGAAAACATCACAGTAGACGCAGAGCCCAGGCCCCTGCCGTTGGGTGGGGTCACCCCCCCCGGCCACACGGGTCTAGAGCCCTGGCAAGGCGCCTCGTGAAATAACAACGTCTTGGCTAGATTGTGTTAAATCAGATGCATCTTAAAAGGAATTCCACTTATTTCCTTTTACCCTCTAGTGTGGCTATTGGGAAACTCGGAATTGCCCCCGCGGCTCAGCGACGTCGGTGCGGGACGGAGGGCCCCGCGCAGCAGCTCACAGCAAGGCCCCCCCACCTCCCCCTCCGCCTTGGCGCTGCAGCCTGGAGGGGTCGAGCGGGGTCGGGCTGGGGCGGGGCCGGGCCGGGGGCGGGGCGGGGCCAGGGTCGGGCAGGATCAGGTGGGGGTCAGGCGGGGTCAGGCGGGGCACCTGCTGCGCAGCCTCCCCCCCCCCCCCGACGCAGGTTTCCGGGGCGCGGGCCTCGCTACGTCTGGTTAGTTCACCGCGGGGGGGGGGTGCAGTGCTCGCGGCGGGTGAAGAACGCCTCCCCTCGTTTCCTTCACAGACTATTTAATGTAACTGGAAAGGGGCCTTGGATCCAGTCGCACCCTGACTCGACTAAGGGCAGCGAGCCCGGGTGGCTCCTCGCTCAGCCTGGAAGGAGCCAGAACCTTCTAGGCCCTGCCGCTGAGTCAGATTTGCCTCGTCCTCTTAAGGTAGGTGCGAGGGAAGCAGGATCATCCGACAACTCATAAACCCGTCCTGGTGACCTTCACCGTGTAGTACGGAGCGCACTGTGTGCCCACACACGCCCACGCGCCCACGCGCGCCCACATGCACACCGTGTAGTACTGTGTGCCCACACACGCCCACGCGCCCACGCGCGCCCACATGCACACACGCGCCCACGCGCCCCCACATGCACACACGCGCGCCCACATGCACACACGCGCCCACATGCACACACGCGCCCACGTGCACCCGCGCGCCCACGCGCCCCCACATGCACACACGCGCCCACGTGCACCCGCGCGCCCACGCGCCCCCATATGCACACACGCGCCCACGTGCACACACGCGCCCACGTGCACACACGCGCCCACACGTGCCCACATGCACACACGCGCCCACGTGCACACACGCGCCCACACGTGCCCACATGCACACACGCGCCCACGCGCCCCCACATGCACACACGCGCGCCCACATGCACACACGCGCCCACATGCACACACGCGCCCACGTGCACCCGCGCGCCCACGCGCCCCCACATGCACACACGCGCGCCCACATGCACACACGCGCCCACATGCACACACGCGCCCACGTGCACCCGCGCGCCCACGCGCCCCCACATGCACACACGCGCCCACGTGCACCCGCGCGCCCACGCGCCCCCATATGCACACACGCGCCCACGTGCACACACGCGCCCACGTGCACACACGCGCCCACACGTGCCCACATGCACACACGCGCCCACGTGCACACACGCGCCCACACGTGCCCACATGCACACACGCGCCCACGTGCACCCGCGCGCCCACGTGCACACACGCGCCCACGCGTGCCCACATGCACACACGCGCCCACATGCACCCGCGCGCCCACGCGTGCCCACATGCACACACGCGCCCACATGCACACACGCGCCCCCACATGCACACACGCGCCCACGTGCAACCGCGCGCCCACGCGCGCCCACATGCACACACACGCCCCCACGTGCACACACACGCCCCCACATGCACACACATGCCCACATGCACACACGCGCCCACGTGCACCCGCGCGCCCACATGCACCCGCGCGCCCACACGTGCCCACATGCACACACGCGCCCACATGCACACACGCGACCCCACATGCACACACGCGCCCACGTGCAACCGCGCGCCCACGTGCAACCGCGCGCCCACGCGCGCCTACATGCACACACACGCCCCCACGTGCACACACGCGCCCCCACATGCACACACGCGCCCACATGCACACACGCGCCCACGTGCACCCGCGCGCCCACGCGTGCCCACATGCACACACGCGCGCCCACATGCACACACACGCCCCCACGTGCACACACGCGCCCCCACATGCACACACGCGCCCACATGCACACACGCGCCCACGTGCACCCGCGCGCCCACTTGCACACACGCGCCCACGCCCACGTGCACCGCGCGCCCACTTGCACACACGCGCCCCACGTGCACACACCCGCGCGCCCACATGCACACACGCGCCCCCACGTGCACCCGCGCGCCCACGTGCACCCACGCGCCGTCTCGCAGGCAGTTAGCCGTGGTCGCGGGGCGGGGACCTGCGGACCGCGGGGCGGGGACGAGCCGGCAGCAGAGCCTGCGGGCCCCGGGAGCGGAGCCCCGGACTCCCGCCTTCTGTCCCCGCTCCCGGCTCGGCGACTTCGCCAATCGCGGAAGACGGCGCCTCGTCCCGGGACCGCGGCGGCGCGGTGGGGCGACCGAGTGGCTCCGCCGCGCGCACGTTTTCGCGTCGCCGTCGTGGTCGTTCCGGGAGCCGCGCTGCCGCCCGCGCTTTGACGTCGTGGTGCCCGCGAGGGGCGAGGTGGCCGCGGGGTCCCTTCCGTGTGCTCCTTAACCGGCTGCACGAAGCTGACCGATTCGGCTCTGCGCGGGAAGATGGAAGGGCCTCGTCCCACCCCGGGCGCCCCAGGCCCCGACGGCCCCGTGCCCCGGGCAGGGGAGGGCCGTGGCGAGGCGCGGGGCGGGAAGCCGCTGTCCCCGCGGCCGGGCTGCGCGGTGGCCGTCGCGGGGCGCCCGGGCTGCCCCCCGCCCCGTCTCAGTGCCCCCCCATCCGGCTGTGACGCTTCCGGTCTCCAGCCCCCCCCCCCCCCCGCTGGAAGGGGCGCCCTGTTCGCTGCGGGATTCCGGCAGTGCGCGAGCACCCGCAGCCCCGCTCCACTCGGGGTCCCCCTCCGGCCCCCCACCCCAAGCTCAGGTCCTGCGTGGGGGAGAAGCGGGCCTGTTACCGGCGCCTACGGGACGGTCCACAGGCCACCGAGCCGGGGCCCCCCAGGTCCCTGCCCCCCGCGCGAGGACGGGCGCGCTGCTGGGGGGCGACGGCGGAGGTGCCAGCGCGGACCCGAAACGGGCCCGCAAGGTGCGCGCGCTAACACGGAGGGGGGAGGCGGCAGCTGTAGCCCTGGGGTCAGTGCCTCTGGCCCCGACTTGCCATCGACGCCACGGACGCCTGTGGCCGCCCGCCTCTGGCAAGGCCCGAAAGTCCTGGTGCACTTAGGCGCTTCAGGTTTCTCATAAGCGCTTTCTTCAAAGCAGTGGCCTGATTTGCTCTGTGAGTTTTGTCAAGTGCGTATCATATCAAAGGAGAAGGGTCTGCCAAAGCCTTTCTTGGCCGCAGAAAGGGGAGCTCTGTTTGAAGAAAGTCAAGTTACACTGACGGGCTCCCACTGGGAAGATGAAAGGAATGGCTGGATTTCCTGCGACTCTGTTGTTGTTGTTTGTGTCGCTCAAACATTTTAATCAACATGAAAGGACTCGGTTGCCTGGTGAGAGCAGTGCAATTTGAGAAAGCCATTTAGAAGCCGCCAAATAGATTTGCAGCTAATAAAGTCGTATTTGTCTGTGGTGTCAAAGACCAGATTTATGGGAGGTGATTAATAAAGGGCCCAAACGTCGGGCATAGGAAGATGCTCAGGAGATTATTTTTCAAATGGATTTCCCCACTGCAGGTTCTTGATACGCATTTCGTACATTTAAAGAAGCAACAAGAGAGCTTGTAAAGTCTGATTTTGGTCCAGTTACAATGCGGCTGTGAGACGATTAGGATATAGACTGGGCGAAGTCTGTGTGTGTACGCGGCCTAATGAACCAAGGAAAAGAATTTCAAATCGGAAAATTAGGAATGTTGTATAAATGATCTGGTTTTCACAACATGAAAGGATTCGTCTTAATTCATTACTGTGTATCGTTTTCCTGTTAAATTTCTGCCCGATGTGGGTAGATGTGACACGGCCTCCATACAAGTTTGATGAAGGAATGAAGGACTGGGTAGTTCAAGCACGTGTATTTTCTCAGTTTGGAATCCTTAAAGATTCTGACCACTGTAGTCGTTCTTGTGCTCTAAAAGAGAAAAAAGAAAGAAAGAAAATAATGCTATCAGTATTGTATTTATCATAATTTATAATTTCCCGTGAGGAAATGAACTACGTAGGATATTCTTATTCAGACAAAGCAGGTTTCGGTTTCCTTACTGCCAGTGCTGGGGCGAGAAGGAAGCAGGACCTCACGGTCGCTCTGTCAAGAGCCTGGAATCTGCATTCCTTCGAGAGGAAAAAAATGGGACCACGTTACTCCTCTGGATTTCTTTGTGTTTGAGTCTCATCTTTTCAGGTTCTTATGGCTTATCTCGTTTTTGTCCTGTCTTTTCTTCCTATTTTGAAAAAAAAAATGAATGCAAGGAGTTAAATTAACCATATTCCTTTTTTGGGGGGATGTGTGTGCATTTCCTTTATTCTCATTGTTGCACACCCTTCTCCACAGGAGACAGTCATAGCGTAGACCTTTCTGTTCTTATGCTCCAACAACATATGCGTGACTGTTTCACGTGCATCTGTTTTTATTTATGTAAATGGTGCTGGAATGTTTTTTTTTCTTGTTCTTACTGTTTTCACTCGTAAGGATGGTTTAAGACTTCTTCACGCCCGCTGTATAGCACGGCCCCTGCAGGGTGCACACGGGCCCTTCCTCAGTGGTGTCACGCATCTTGTGCGCAGCCTCTGGGTCCACACGACGCTCCCTCTCTCTCTGCGCGTGGGCGAGGAGCTCCTCCACACGCACACACAGAGCTGCCAGGTGAGGTCAGTATTGCACATCGCCCTCCGTGTCAGTCCCCGTTCCCACCTGCAGTCCCTGAGGAGTCTCAGGTTCCCGCAAGCCCGCCCACACTGGACGCGACCTCGGTGGCTAATTTTTGTCATTTTGGAGGGAAACTAGTACCTCGTTTCCGTGGGTGCGCTAAGGAATTCCTCGTGAGTTTGGACATCTCCTCCCGTGTCGGCCGGCCTGTTACACCACCTCCTCCGTAAATGCCGCAACGTATGCTTTGCCCCATTTTCAGTTGGGACTTCTGCGTTTCTTCATACGCAGCTCATAGCCCCGACGGCGCCCCCCCACCCCCGCCCGCCTTCGTCGTCCGGGTTCCTTCTCTCAGCACGGCCTGGGGATTCGAGCCTTGATCATTTTAGGCGATGAAAACTTCTTCTAATTCTCCATTTTTCTCCGATCTTCAGCTATGAGCGTCTTCCTTGAGCACAATCCTCACATTCGACGTGATTAGTCGGTCTGATGTTTGCAGGTGGGAGGTCGTTTCCGACCACCATGTCCTCAAGCTGTTCTTCCGAGTTACCTGTTGTCGACACGATTTTCGCACTGCGTCTGCGGGTCCCTCATGTAGTTGGCGGCGCCGCTGGCCTGGGTGTGGGGGGAGATTGCGGTGGCCCGAATAGGCCCCCCCCACCCCGCCCCACCCCCCCGCAGCCCTGCGTGGAAATCCTCACCCGCGGGGATGGTTCTAGAACGTGAGATGGTTCTAGAACCGGCTGTGAGGTGGAGCCCTTCTGAGTGGGGGCAGAGGCTTCTAAGGACACGCCCGGCACCAGCACCCGGAGGGGGCGGCCGGCTTCCCGCGCTCCGCGGCCGCTGCGACCTCACGTCCCCGCCAACGCGTAGGCCTCGGCCTGACGGCTTGACGGAGGCAACGGGCAGGTGCCAGGTGCGGACCCGAGACCCCGGGGAAGCTGCGGAGCCCGCAGAGCGCGGAGCCCCCTGCACAGAGGGAAGCGCAGCCGCACCGGGCCTCAGGCGCGAGCACCCCCCCCCCCCAAAGCTTTGCCTGCAGGACCTGACTCCTGCAGGGTTTTACCCGCAGCGCAGCCGGGAGGCGACGCTTTACGGGGCCGCCCGCCGTGGGGCGTCCAGCAGGCTGGACAGCGACGCCCGGGAGGAGGGCCGAGGCCTGCGAGTGCAGGGCGGCCCGGGCACAGCATCCCAGGGCCCGGGGCGCGGGAAGAGGGGCGCGGTCCCCCCAGGGCCTGGGGCGCGCGGGGAAGAGGGTCACGGACCCACCCCGCCCCCGCCAGGGCCGAGGCCCGCGGGCTCTGAGCAGCTGCCGCTCAGCCGGGACGGGGGCGCGTGCGGCAGCGCTGGGAGGCGCCCCTCTGGAGGAGGGGCGTGGGATTGAGAGGTTCGAATCCCGCCGCGTGCCAGAGATTAAACAGGAAACTGTGGCACCGGGTGCCTGACGGTGCCCCGGGCAGGATGGCGCCCCACGGCTGCAAGGCTGCCCTGGGGGGGGGCGGGGGCACACCTGTCGGGTCCTGTGGGATTTGGGACCGTGAGTCCCAGCCTCCGGCCAGAGAGAAAGCACAGAAGGGCCGTGGCGCCCAGCACGCCGGAGGCCTGGGCACAGGCAGGGTAAGGACAGGCACCTGGGGAGACCTGGGACCCCAGTGGGGAAATGGCTCACCTTTCCGTGAGGGCTCCCCGAGTGGCAGCAGGCTCCGGCTCCCTCCCCGGGGCCAGGGGCCACCGTGCCCCCCGGCAGGGGCCACCTCGGCAGCCGCCGCGCCCCGAGTGGAGGCTGCCGCTGCTCACACCAGCTCTGCGCCGGGTCCTGCAGGGGCATTCTTGGTAGAGCCAGCCCGGCGACCTCTCCCCGGTGTCCAGCACGGTCCCCGCAGGCGTCACGCTGCTCATCGCGCAGTGCTCCAAAGCATCGGCCTCAGTGGTGGCGGAAACAGGACCAGGTTTTCTGGGGGCGATGGGGGTGGGGGGGTGGTAATCAGGTTTAGAGGTTTGTGTTTACATTTCCTTTCTTTTTTTGAATCAGGCTCCTTTTTTCCTTTCTTTCTTTCTCTTTCTTTGGAATTAGACTTAAAGTTTCTTTGTGTGTCTGTTTTGTTTTGTTCCTTTTCGATTTTTTGGATCCCCCACCCCACCCCCCAACCGCTCCCAGGCTTATTTTAACAAACAAATCAAGACACACGTAGTTAAAGGTCCAAACAGGCCCCATTGCAAGCAATGAGGAAATCTGCAGAGGACTGACCTGTGGGAAAGAGCAGCCAAAACACGCCATCGGAGTGCACACAGCATGCACCCGAACACTCTCAGAGGCTCCAGGCCCTGGACAGTGTATGAGGCCTTCGTAGTATACTATTACCCAGAGGAGCAGGAAACAGAACAAGCTTTCAAAACACACACAAGACAGAAACTTACGCAAAATGACAAGATAGAGGAATTCTTGCCAAAAGAAAGATCAAGAAGAAACTACAGCCAGGGATTTCTCAGAACATGTCAGCAATATATCTGAACAAGAATTTAGAACAACAGCCATTAGAATATTAGCTAGGCTTGAAGAAAGCGCAGAAGACGCCAGAGAAACCTTTGCTGCAGACATAAAAGGCCTAAGAACTAATCAGGCCAAAATTTAAAAAATGCTATAACTGAGATGTAAAACCAATTGGTTGTAATGACAGCAAGGATGGAAGGAGCAAAAGAATGAATAGGTGATATAGAAGATAAAATTATGGGAAATAATGAAGCTGAAAAGAAGAGGGAAAGAAAACCGTTAGATCCTGAATATAGACACAGGGAAGTCAGTGATTCCATAAAGTGCAATAATATCCACATCATAGGGGTCCCAGAAGAAGAAAAGCAGAGAAAAAGGACCAGATGGTTTATTTAAATATAACTGAGTATTTCGCTAATCTGAGGAAGGAAACAGGCCTTCAGTTCCAAGAGGCTCTGAGAACTCGCCTCAAAATCAACAAAACCAGGTCAACAGCAAGCATATCATAGTGAAATATGCAAAATACAAAGATAAAGAGAGAATTCTGAAGGCAGCCAGGGGCAGAAGATCCTTAATCTACAAGTATAGACATATAAGGTCAGCAGGAGATATGTCCACAGAAACTTGACAGGCCAGAAAAAAGGTGGCATGATGTATTCCACATGCTAATGGGAAAAATATGCTGCCAAGAAGATTTAATTCAGCAAGGCTGTTGTTCGGATAGAAGGGGAGAGAGAGTTTCCAAGACAAGCAAAAGCCAAAGGAGTTTGTGAACACTAGATGAGTTCAGCAAGAAATATTAAAGGGGACCCTTTGAGAGGGAAAGAGAGACCAAAAGCATCAAAAGCTAGAAATGCATAGAGACAATCTACAGGAATAGCAACTTTACGGGTAATACAATGACACTAAATTCATATCTATCAATAATTACTCTGAGTATAAATGGACTAAA